AAAACTGGTCTTAATAATTCAAATTTGTCGAATGATTCGGTCAATTTCATTTTTTTTTTAAAAAGGTCTGAATGATTCATATCTTTTTAATTAATTGCTTTATTCAGTTCTCAAACTAATCTGAACGATTAAGATCCTTAAGTGAATTAGTTGATCTAGTTAATAAAAGCATTGATTCAGTTTGAATGATTCAGATGTTTGTAATTAATTAGTTGATCTAAGCTGATCTGAATAATTTGATTCATTTGAAACACTAATGTGGTACTTTTATGATTCTTCTTTGTCATTTGAGAGCTTGACCATTCCAGTCCTCATTTGCTGTCATTATCTTGACATGAGCATGCATAAGTGATGGCAAATTTTTAGTTTTTGTCTGAACTATCCCTTTAATTGAAAATTGAGTTGACCAAAACTTACAATGTGTATCTAATGATACTTGCAAATCAGGCTGCACATTGTGGCATCTGGTTGTTGTTTTATACTCATTTGTGAGCAAAAGCTGATTCGTTTAGACCAGCGACTGCACATTCCCAGAAGTCTTTTTGATGCAGGACGGGAACACATTTCATATGTCTGGCAGACCTCTGGCCTTGCCTAATTACATGCATCCACAGTGATTATTAATTTTTAATCTTCCTGTGCAAACAGGAGCTGACAGGGAGAGAAATCGTCAGAGGAGCTGGTGCCCAGATCAAGACATATCCTGTTATTATCTCACAGTGCCTTAAATGTAATTACCGCATTGACCTTTCCCAGCACTTTGATTAGTTTAGAAAGCTCAGCTTTATTTGAACTGAAGCAGTGAACACGCTATTGCTTGAAGCTCATGAAACATACTATGCTTTTTTCTGCCATTTGCAGATGGCATCGACCATTATTATGGAACAGTTTTCTAGACCCAGACTAGAATTATCAACACCGATTGCTCTCTGGGTAATCTTCCAATGTTCAGATTCTTATTAACTGTTAGATTAGTATATAAATACATTTCTTTTAAAACAGCTACTGTTGAAGTCAGAGAGAGACAAGTGAGAACTTTTTATATTATATTATATTATATTATATTATAATATATTACTGTTCAAAAGTTTGGGGTCAGTAAGATTTTTTTTCTGAAATAAATTAATACCTTTATTCAGCAAGAATGCATTAAATTGATCAAAAGCGACAGTAAAGACAGTTACATTGTTACAAAGATTCTTTTTGTACCCTTTTTTCTCTTCTTTTCAACTTTCTATTCATCAAAGAATCGTAAACAATTTATCGCAGTGATCAGATAATATTAAGCAGCCCAACTGTTTTCCGCATTCATAAGAAATGAGCATATTATAATGATATCTGAAAGATTATTTGACACTGGAATAATGCCGAAAATAGCCATCACAGGAATAAGTTACATTTTAAAATGTTTTCAAATAGAAAATGGTTACATTTAAAATGATTAAATTAATTTAAAACAAATAAATGCAGTCTGGGTGAGCATAAGAGACTTATTACATTTTAAAATGTTTTCAAATAGAAAATGGTTACATTTAAAATTATTAAATTAATTTAAAACAAATAAATGCAGTCTGGGTGAGCATAAGAGACTTATATATTATTAAGAGACCTACATATTATTATATTGACAATGAACCCTAATGAAAGCACAGTAGCAGGTTTCGAATGATGCATTTGCATCATAAAATATGAATTTATACAATGAATGTTAAAGATGTAAAGTCTTTTCAGACAGTAATTTATTATTTCACACCATATCTAAAAGCAGCCATACTCTGCACTTTTATAACATTTTATTATCTTCTTATAGTTCACTTGTAATGTTAGTAATTTAGGCTTTTTGCAGCTGTAATTTACTACTACAGAACTGTTTTACAGTTAAATCACCGTTTTTTAACATTCCTTTAAGACTTCTTTGTGTAAATGATTTCTGTGTCACAAACAGTATGAAATAAGTAATGACGCTTAAAAAAGTTAAAAAAAAACCACATGAAGTGTGCAGTTGTTGAGGTTGTATAATCAGGGACTTGTGACATCATTAGCACAAATATGCATTTGTAGCAGGGAAGTAAAGTATGCATATTCAGACGCAGGGTACGTATCTATGGTTGCACATTAATGTACAGTACTCCAGCTCGGTACGTGTTGTGCGGGTGTAGTTATTCTGAAGTACTTGTGTGACCTTTGCTGATTATCAAGGAGTCGAAAATGAACACTGAGGCATAATCAAAAGCTGATAATCTGTTCAGATGATCCACTCAGGAGGCGCGGCTTTATGATTTCACCAGACTGTCTGTAATGAAGCAACAGCTGAAGAGGTCTCTTGATATTCTGAGGGGTGTGTGAAACTGCCAGGCATAAAGCAGGCGATCTGTTATTTAAGTCCTGAGTGGGCTTATTGACGTACAAAATAGAGCGAAACTTGTGCTGCACGAAGTGAAGCCAATATGAAGTTCCCCTGTTGACGAACAGTCACATCGTTTATTAGCAAAGAGAGGCCGCATCAAAATACAAGACGTTTAAGGATTTGCATGTAGTTTTGTTCTTGAATGTCACTTGGGAGCCCAATTTTCACCTCCCCACATTCTCATTGATGTTGTTTTAGAGTGTAACAAGGAAAAAACAAGAAAGCCGGAGCGATAACTGATCTCGTCTGTCTGTCTTGCCTCCTTGGGCTGTGACAAAATGAATGAAGCATCTGATGCGACAGGGTGTCTGGTCTCAGGCTCTCCCATTGGCTTAGGTCTTGACCTTCTGGAATTACTTCAATTCTTAATCCTAATTTTCTCTGTGCCGGTCCAAATCGAGTTCTTTTCCAACGAGGTATAGTCCCTGCATTAAGATTAACTTTAAGTGACACTTTAATTTGAATGTAAAAGAGGTGTATTTTGCCTCCAATTTGAGCTTTGCGGTGGGAAGGAGCTGTTTTGCTGATAAAATGTCAAAAGGAAAGGTTTAATTTAGCTAATAATATTTCACAATATTACTGTTTTTGTGTGTGTGTGTGTGTGTGTGTGTGTTTGATCAAGTAAATGCAGCCTTAATGAGCAGAAGAGACTTCTTTAAAAAAAACTATTTTTAAAATAGATTTTAGGCCTATCCAAGTTAATGTGATACATTAATATATTAAATAAAAATAAAAAAAATCATTATGAAAATTCTTAATTTTTAACACTAAAGAATTATATTATTATTTGTATTCTGCTATCTTGAGACTGGTTGGAAATCATGAGATTAATTGTGATTTAGTTTACAATTTCTCCAAACATTTCCATAAATTCTTCTAATAATTTGCTAATAATGAGACCAAATAAGGTGATTGTTTCATTTTGGAAGCATGTTGTATTTTAATTTCGCACTCTTCGTACAGTATAATTGGGTATTTGTACAATAAAATATATATCTGCTTTGTAATTTAGGATCTTGGCATCATATTTGGGGGTTATATGTTTAAGCTTCACATTTAGGGGTCCTTGACACTAAAAAGCTTGAAAACCACTGGCCTAGAGCATGAAACTATCAAAATTAAATAGACATTTAAAACCAGAATTTTCAGTTTTCATATTTAGCCTGTTTTATGTTAATATCTTTGCATAATATTTGGTCTATGAAGTTCATTGTAATATTAATGAATTTCAATGTTTGGTTTTAAGCACTTTTTGTTGCTGATATAAATATAAGTTAAATATGAATGCAAATTCTTTGCAAACAAACTTGGGCTGACACACTTTCTGATTGAGATTCATATTTTGTCCTTTCCAGCCATACCCCCCAGCCACTCACTTCCTCAAGTCATGTAGATTTCACAGATTCACGCCACTGACTTCCTGTCATTCTGGAAAGGTGCAGTGTGGTGTGGTATCAGCCTAGTGGCTAAAGCTCTTAACAACGCTGGTGAACCTGTGAAGTGAAGTGTTACAGAGAGGCCTCCACTGTGCCCTTGAGCAAAGCACTTAACTTCACTCTTCTCCTGCGGGACTGTCTCTGAAATTACTGTACTGTACTGTACTGTACATCAGTTTGAATGAAAACCATCTGCTAAGTAATGAGTACCAGAGGTTATTTGCATTGTTATAATCCTGCATACATGCATTTTTATGTCATACCTAAGCCGGTGTATGCAGCTTTTGGGGGAACCGAAGTTTGACAGAGCATGACGCCTGAATTTAAATGGGTTTGAAAAGGAATAAAACCAGAGTGATGCTCTGTGGAGAATAAAGGAAAGATCAAGCCGCAACAGAAACAAGGTTCTCGGCTGACGTTTGGGTGCGAGATTTTTGTGATACCTGCTGCGATTGAGAAGTCACCTGCGACAGCCATGTATATGCAGCCATTGGAGGGAACTGAGACTAGATTTGAGCGACGTTCACCTCTGCCCTTCCTGACACTCAAAGAATTCACACAAGAGATCCCATTTACAAAACACACAGCACGATCAGACAAAAAGCGAAAGGAGGTGCTTGGTTTGAGAAGGCAGTTTCTAATAGTGCATCATCTTTAAAATTTCTAAACTTTAAGTTAAAGAGGCCGTTGTTTTCCCCTTTAACCCCATTTTTATCCAAATACTTGATCTGATTTTGTCAGTCACATCAAATTCTGAAATATTTAAATATTTTGTTGTGGTAATTAACAAAAAAGATTTAATAGGAGTAATTTTGCTAAACAGTTGTGCCACTTTCAGCCAAATATATATTTTTTAGATCACAAACATCCTGCTATAAAGTTTATGACCAATTACAGCTCTTGTACTTACACCTTTCTAATAGTTAAGGGGCAATAAGATTTTTTTATGTTTCTTTTTTAATGCTTTAATGCTCACCAAATCTGCATTTATGTGCTTAAAATTAGAGTTAAAACATTAATATTCTGAAATATTATTGCAATTTAAAAAACTGTTTTAATATATTTTAAATTATGTTCCTATTTGTAAAATATATTTAGGGCCCAAGCCACTAAGGCGCAGAGCCCTATTGATCCCTTAAGGATTTTTTTTTTTTTAGGGCCCAAGCCACTAAGGCACAGGGCCCTATTGATCCCCTAAGGATTGAATCCCCGCAGAGGCTGGGACCCGGGCGTGGCACAGGGGATCTACGGCGACCCCTGGAACACAGTCCAGAGATATACATCAAGTTTTCTGATGTATATCTCACACTTGGACGTATTCATATGAAACTCTGTACACATATAGATCTCATTGAGTTATGGCGAGAAAAGAGAAACAGGAAGTGTGTAGTAACTTACACATACATTGTCTGGGGTTTGTTTGTTGTATGATGCCAATCTCATAGATGTGACTGGAGTCAAAGTTATAGTGCCACCAACTGGCAGCAGGAAGTGTGTCATTTTCAAAATGCTTTGAATTCAGCATCTTATTTTTCCTTGATTTGCTTCAAACTTCATCAGAATAATGTCAAAACACGGCAGATGTAAAACTGTTGAGGGGTTATTGATATCTTGAATGCTGTTGCCATGGCAACGTGTCAAACATTAACATTTGTTTCCTGTGTTTTTGAGGCACATAACATGCTTAGAATTTTATGAAACTTGACACACACATCAGCATTAATGATAGTTAGACACTGGCAAAAGCACATAAATGGGCGTGGAGGAGGCGCTCTATAGTGCCACCTTTTGACAAAAGTTGTGGGGTTAGTTTTAGGTACAGACACCAAACTCAGTACATATATTGATCTCATCAAGCCGGACAACTTTCTAATTTACACTCATAAGCTACGATCAACAGGAAGTCAGCTATTTTGCTTTGAATGTGGACACTTCAAAACTTTTTACATACAGAGAACAAGTCATTCTGAGGAAACATGCTCAGTTTCATGAATTTACAAAGCTCTATGGATAACAGAAAATTTAAAATCAGACATCTGATCTCACTCTTCCTCTATGTGTGTGGGGGGTGGGTGTGTTTGTGTTGAGTGTGGGGGTGAGTGAGGGGGTGGGTGAGAGAGAGTTAGATAAACATCTCTTTAATTACCAGAAAAAAATAATTAGTAATTTTTTTTAACATTACAGCTTAAGAAATCTTAGTCCTTATCCTTTTCTGTCAGTTTTAGGGACAAAAAGTCCTAGAAATAGTAAATTTGTAGGGCACTAACAATATAATTTTATATAATTAGGTTAATAATTATGTTGCTTACGATTTAAAAAGATCTAAAGATACAAACGCATTGACTTATACATTTTGGTGCTGCAAATAATAATTTGACACTCATTTGATACTGACCTATGACATCCTGTGACATGACATTCATCTGAATTTTCTTATATCTTTAAAGTGCATTATCCAAACTCTTCAAAACTTTACATATGGAGAACAAGTCATTCGTAGGAAACATGCCTAGATTCATATATGTAAAATGCTCAGGGGAGTGACATAAAATGAAAAACAGTTAAGCTCACAGATGAAGACTAAGCTGTAATGCAGGCAAAAATATTTCACAAATGTTTATAGATCAATAAAATCATTTTAAAAAATGCTTATTAATAATTAAAGGTTTGGTAATACTTTACAATAATGTCTCATTTGTTAACATTAGTAAATGCATTAACTGACAAGAACTATCAATTAACAATATGTTTTTACAGCATTTATTAATGATTGTTGATGTTAGTTAATCAAAATGTTCATGTTAATTCACATTGTATTAACTAATGTTAAAAGATAAAACTTTAAATTTTAATAATGTTTTAGTTTTGAACTTAATATTAACTAATGCTTGGGCCCGCCATCGCTGCTTGCAGTTATATTTATATTTGTAATTTATTCCTGTGATAGCAAAGCTTTTATTTCTTGTTATTATCAATGATAAACAGTTCTTAATGTTTATATATTAATAAGAGTCAATTCAGGTAACTGATGCTTTTTGCCATTGAGATGACTGGGAAAAAATGTCCCAATTAACCTGAATTCACCCTGTATAAACAATTCTTACTATTTTTGTGGGATTATTTGAAATAAAAAGTTTTAAAAAAAAATCTTTTGTAACATGATTATAAATGTCTTTACGGTCACCTTTGATCAATTTCATTGGTCCTTGATGAATAAAAGTTTTGTTTTGTTTTGTTTTTTTCTGAAAGAAAATCTTACTGACTCCAAACTTTTGAATGTTAGTGTACATCCATAAAAACTTGAACCCTTTTACTTATTTTTCTCCAGAACTGCAAGCTAATGGAAACTCCAGACCAGGATCTGACAGACTTCACTAAGTGCTTGGCCATTATGGTGGAGGAGATCAAAACACAGAAATTGCAGGTTGGACTCAATCTCTCTTCAGCTGCATCTCTATAAATCTGTCTGTCTGTATGTTCTCTCTTACACTTCAGAACTGATCACTAACTTTTTGACCTCATTTGCACCTGGTATTAATATCCATGTCAGGTGATCAGACCACAGGTGGTCAGCGTTTTGTGACTGGATTATTAAAACCACATTCAGTGGCAGTCAGGAACATACGTGACCACTTTGCATTTGTTGCAAGAAAAGTCCTGACAAATCGCAACTGACATGTTGTGCTAAAATAACAAATATTTAAAACAAAAAAAACACCAGAAATGGAAAAATACATCCAGTTTAGTTACCCAAGTGAAATGTACCCTTTACCTTACTTAAAAAAAAAAAATTAAAAAAAAAAGTACTTATTACGGAAAAAAATATAATTTAAAAGAATATACTTAAGTGTGTATACTTAATATATACATACTTAAAGAATATGCTTAACTGAATGTAATGATTTCACACACTTAATTGCATGTTAATTGCAGCTGATTGAAAAATGTTAGTCAACACATCAATGTACTTCTAATCTCATAAGGTTATTAAAAAAATATTTAAAATGTTCTTTAAAAGTTTTAATTTGACAGTGCAAAAAGTGCATTAGGAAACAACCATGAAACTGTGCTGTCTTTCAGTTAAGTGAACTTTTATCACATTCATTTTATATTATCTGCAAGTACAGATTTTTAAAATATAGTTTCAATACTTGAAGTACACTACTAGTGCGCATTCAATAGAATTAAGTGCACTTCTTTCTCACAGTGGTTGTACAGACGCTTAAAAAACATTATTTTTAATGTGCTTTTCAAAACAAATTTTATTTGTTTACTTATTTTACTTAGTCCAATCTCAAATGGTTACAGAAAATATATTTGCATGTTACTAGCAGGTAACTCAAAATCAATGTTACTCCATAATCAAAGTGTGTTACTCTGTCACGCTGGAATGCAGGAATATGTGTACTAAAACACAAAATCTAAGTATTGAGATGAGTACATTACAATAGTAAGAAAAGTAGAACTCAAGTTCATTGTGAAAACTGAGTTGGAAGGATAGCGGTTTCATTCTCACTCGCTTTTTTTATACCTGTCAAACATAAAAGGTGAGCTCACACCTCAGCTTCAGTGTGAATTCACATCCTCCAGGAGCTGTCAGAGAGGTTTTGTATGGATATTTTGTGTGTGTGTGTCTGTCTGCTCCTCCTCTAAACCCCAGCCTGAGCTCCAGGCTTGTCAGACTGTCTGTTGGTCCTCACAGAGATGCCCATCACCGTCACAGACACTCCATAGTTTTACCAATATACGGGCCTCAAGCTCAATCTATATGCATACTATGGCCTTCTTGCTTTATCCTATTGTGTTTATATTCACCTCTGTATCTCAGTGCTACCTTTTGTGTCTTCACAAAAATCAAGTAACACTTCTAAAAGTGAATAAGATTTGGACTGAAGGTCACTGAGGTAATGAGTGAGGTAATTTGACTCTCTGTCAGTCTTTAGATAAAAAGTCTAAAACACAAATACAACTATTAAAATGTTTATGTATCTGCTTGTTTTAAACCTTTATCTCCAGTTGGTTTTAGCCTGAGAAGACACACCAACAGAATGCCAGTCGACATTTATGGACTATTTGATGCATGTTGCAAACCAAAAGCAGCAAGTCTGATCCATGTTTTTTCCTGTCTAATTGAGCGGTTATTGGACAGAATAAGTTGAAAAGTGTACCAGACATTATGCCAATAATTACAGAAATGGCTATGTGAGACGTTGGTGTCTCCAATTAGTTTTTTCGCGTTTTTGCTGAAAAAGTTTGAACTGACGTATTAGACTTTGCAGGTAATGTGAAGACGCACTTTGACCCTCAGATTCCAAGTACAAGTTGTGAACATATCATCATTTCTGCTTCGCTTTTTAAAAAAGTTTTGCAGTCAGTCCACATAATTACAGAGGCACTGTAACATGAACAATTTATGTGTCAGATGTCTCATAAGTCCCGCTATTTAAATGAGCCAGTGGGGGCTGGCAGTGAAGTGTTGATTACCCTCTGTGCATTTTAAAGAGTTTTTTGTCTCGTAGAGTTGTTGGATCTCACAGGGTGATGGGTGCATTGCAGTATTCAGACAAATGGTCCCGGGAGCAAATATCAAAGACATTCTGCCAAGTCGACATTTTCCGGTCCGCACTGTTCCCTCTGAATACTTTCCATAGTGTATGACTCTGTTGTTTAGTGAAGAAGGACATAATTTTGGGCTGCAGTGGGAAGGAAAAGGCTACGGTGCAACTTAGCAAAAGCACTTTCAGAACATTTATCATGAACTTGCAGAATCTACGTACCACAATCACTCATTTGTTTGTCCATTCGTTTAATCATTCATTTGTTTATTTGTGTATTCGTTTGTTGAAGCACTTTTAAAATATTTATTCTGGAGTTGCATAAATAAACTTCATCCACTACTTTGCACCCACAATCATTGATTTGTTTGACCGTTTGTTCATTTGTATGTTTGTTTGTTCATTTTAAAACATTTATCCTGCAGTTGCATAAAACAACATCAATCTACTTGTTTTGCTCCCACAATCACTCATTCTTTTGCTTGTTTGCTCATTCATCTGTTGATTCGTTAATTTCCATTCAAGACTTTGAGAACATTTACCCTTGGGTTGCATAAAAAAATCGTAATCCACTGCTTTTCTCCCACAATTGCTGATTTGTTTGTTTGTTTCTTCATTAATTCATTTATTTGTATATTTGTTTGTTCATTCATTTATTGGTGCAATATCACATTTAAAACATATATTCTGGCGTTGTGTAAAGAATGTGTCCACAGATTACACACGTACTAATTAATTTGTTAGTTTGTTGATTTAATTAGTTTTTGTTTGTTCATTCATTTATTTGTTTGTTCATTCATTTGTTGGTGCAATATCACATTTAACACATTTATTCTTGCATTGTGTAAAGAATCCACAGTTTAAGCACATACAAATTAATTTGTTTGTTTATTTGTTTGTTTGTTCATTTGTTTGTTCGTTAATTTGTTGATGCATTAGCACTTTTAAAACAATCTGGAACTGCATGAAGAATCAATGTACGCTGCTTTGATTACACACACACACTAATTCATTTGTTTGTTTGTTGATTTAATATGTTTGTTTGTTCATTCGTTCATTTGTTGGTGCAATAGTACTTTCTGAAAAATATGGACCATTTATCCTGGAGTTACGTAAAAAATCATTTGATTATTCATTCATTTGTTAATTTGTTTGTTTGTTTGCTCACTTGTTTGTTCATTTGTGTAGCACTTTAAGAGCATCTGTCCTGTAGATTCTCAGCCGTTTGCTCACACTATCACTAATTTGTTTACTCGTTCATCTGTTCATTCATTCGTTTGGATAGTTGTTTGTACATTAATTTTTTTGAGCAACATAACTCACAATCTCTCATTCATCTGTTAATTTGTTCATTCTGTGGTTATTTTATTTTATTTGTTTACTCATCTACCATTTTTTGCAGATAGATACCATTGTAATCCTGGGTGGTCTTGGAGGCCGCTTTGACCAGATCATGGCCACGGTGGAGACCTTGTTTCATGCCCAGAAGATGACCGACCTGCCTGTGGTGGTTATACAGGACCGTTCTCTTGCTGTCCTCCTCCAAGAGGTAAACACTTCTCTCCCTCTCATTAGCATGCACTAATCAGTGTTTGTGCTTTTGACATCTTGATTGCGGCACTTAATGATCAATGGTGATATTAAGCAATTAAAAACTGCAGAGACACTTTACTGCCTCTTCTGCATTGTTTCCTGTTTGTGCAATTTTGAAAGGTCACAGCTCTTGATCCAAAAAATGCATTGTCAACATTTTCATTCAACACTACTATATAAAGCAAATAAAGGCTTGTGACAGATGCGTGTGTGTATTTTATGATGCTTTAGAGATCAGACCAGCTCATATTTGCACAGTAACACTATATAGTACATGAAAAGCCCTTGTTTTGAATTTTGCAAACATGTATAGAAAATAGTAAGACATTGTAATTTTGTCCAACTAATAAGAAACCTTACAGAATTGCTCTGGCTGCATTACTTTGCATTCTGCATGAGAATATTTAATAAACCGCTGAGGCTCATAGAGAATATAGGACATTGAGATGATTGTGAAAATCTTAATCTATCGGCTCTTGTAATGGGCCAAAAATTTAAATGAATGCATCTCAGTCTATATAAAGATGTCCTTGACTGCTTCAGTCCCTCATAAAGCAGACTTATAAAACATGCATTCAGTTCTCTGTCTGTGCAGCACCCATTTACTGCTATTCCTGGCTTTTCAGAGACAGATCAGAAGATGTTTTGAATAATCAAACTTTGATGTTTGCACAGCGCATGTTTAGATTAAAATAAAACATTTATAAATAGCATCTAACTTGCCAAATGTAATAGGTGGTAATTATTACTTAAACAATAGTTCTTGGAACATCCAGCCCACTTGCAAGAATATCTGTAATTTTTGAAGCGTCGTCATTCATCTTTTTAGTAAGTGTGTGTGTATGTCGACAACAAGACACCACTTTAGAAATGTGATAATTGAAATTATCACAGTATTGAACTAGACTGTTGTCTGTGATGAGAACTGAGAACAGCATTACAAATGGTGGGTTGCCAGTGCCTCTGCGGGTGAGAAAGTTTTAAAATTCAGATTTTCTGACAGTTTATTTCTCCATTCTTGCAGGTCTGCAGTGGAGGAGCATATATGTGAATTTAGAGTCTCTCTCGGCATAATATTACATAAATATTACATTTATAATCAATTCTAATTCTACCAGCTGCTCCAGACGTATTTAAAGGTGTCATATGATGCGATTTCAATTTTTACTTTCTCTTTGGAGTGTTATAAGCTCTTGGTGCATAAAGAAGATCTGTAAAGTTGCAAAGACTAAAGTCTCAAATCCAAAGAGATATTCTTTATAAAAGTTAAGAGTCAACCACGCCTACCTAAAACGGCTCGTTCTAACACGCCCCCACATGTCTACGTCACGATGTGGGAAGATTTGCATAACGCCGCCCAAATGTTCACGCAAAGAACGAAGGCGTAACTTTTATTCTCACTGTAGTATTGTTGTTGCCGCCGCCGCCATGTCGTGAAGGCGCTGTGTGTTTCATTGTGAAAGCGAAACTACTTTGTTTGGTCTTCCAAAAGAGGAAGATATCCGCTTCGTCATGCCTGGAGCTGATCCGTGCTGGTCGCTGAGGAAATACAT